AATATTGAAGATTAAAATCTGGGTCGAGATTTTGTCAAATAATGCAAATTTAACTGACCCATCTGGGTAGGGATTCTGTAAGATGGCCAACAAGAACCACAAGAGAACAGATTAGTCATTAATTACGAAAGATTACGGGGTTCATTTTTGTCATGTGCAATCATCATTTTAATTGGGCTTCTGGATGAACAATTGACGGTGAAGTTAAGTTTTTTGGATGAACACTACGAGTTCTTCTACTAAGGTGAGGTTGTCGTATGTGGACTATAGATGTGGACCTTTATATTAGTCACATAATTCTTATGAATAGTAACTTCACTTAAGTTTAATGAAATGATCATGTGACTAATATAAAGATCTGCATAAGGAATTCATACATGACACCCTCACTATAGAATTTCGTCATACACCATATATGTGAATTGGGCTTTGTTTTGGACACCATCATCATTCTTGAGCTTGGGCCCAACCAGCATTGGAAACCATAACAACTTTGGCTTGGGCTGACCCAACCAGATTTGGGTCTTGATCTTTGTTTGTGGGTTAGCAATCAAACTTTCTGTTTGGGCTTTCAACTTGGTGTGAATTGGAGTTGAACCCATTTTATTTTATTTTATTTTTTAATAGTCAAGAAACAAACATTACAAAGAAATAACACCCTCCAGTGATATTCACATCATATAAATCACAATGTAACTTATGTAAAACATCCATTATAAAATTTCCAAACCAAACACGCGTAGATGAAAAAGAATGACCATGTTTAGCCAAAATATCTGCTACTTGATTAGATTCTTATAAGCATGTTTTATCGAAACTTGATATAATATTTTACACAATATTATTAAGCTTGGAATCAATCACCTTTCTTTTAGGTTAACAACTCATCAACTTCCTTTTCTCCCCACAATATGATATGACTTGAGGAGAGTTGAGTTGTCCAATCCAATGACTTTGGCTATTAGGCATAAGCCCCTAGCCACTCAATCTAAATGTTTAGGGACCATCCTAGTAGTTTGTGATAACATAATCTTGGCCCCTTAAAGAAGAACATCAAAGCTTCAATACCAACATCTTAGCTTATCTTTTTAGCATAGTAGCTCATCCATGCTAGATTTAGGGCGAGATTAAAGGAGGATATATACACAGACATAATAATTTAACAAGTCCTTTAGGGTGAGATATGGACTGCCAATGGGTCCTTGGGTGGGTTGTAAAACTGAAAAAGCTGGCATATGGGCTAAACCTAAAACTAAGTTTTAGGATAATTGAGGGTTGATTATGGTTTTGAACACAGTTTAGAGGGACAAATGACAATTAATAAAATGTTGGGTTTCTTTTCATTTTTATGATGAACCAGCGGACAAAACAATGTGAGAAATGTCAATGTGTTTATTAAAAAGGTCACCTAGTACTGGGATATATTTATAAGTTATGAGTAATGACATGCCTTTTACCTTCCATTTTATTTGGTTGGTCCAAAATACATGAGGCAGCAAGAAGACATAAAATTTTGATCCTGTCATGATTTTAGGGGAAAGTGTCATCATGACTAATTTCATTCTCCAGTCAGCCTCGCATATGAATATGATTGGTCTCACTCAATCACTCACTTCTTTCATTATGGGTTTTATTATAGAGAATTGATTTTCCGACACCTCTTTTGTTCACTTACACTCTCTTGTATGTTATAGTAAAAATAAAAATAAAAAACAAAAGGAAGTGTAAGTGAACAAAAAAAAATTGAAAAAATGAACACCCTTAATATATGCTGCTAATTATGATAAATTTGGGTTCAAGTGAGTTAGGTTGAGATTTAGATTGCAAAAAATGGAGATTTGTTTGGACATAGTGCATTGACGTTCTTTCTAAGTTTCTATGAGTGTGTGAAAGCCATGCCCTAAGATCCTGTGTTTTAAATACCAAAAACAGTTGGGTTCATTGAGACCTTGTATTGGGGTTGGTCTTGGGAGCTAGCCATTTGGTGGAAAATTGAGCACCCCTAATTTATTTTATACCATACGTATTGTGCTAACTTGTCTCAATCCTCAACCAACCATTCTTGACTTGGAAGCCTTGGAACCTTTTCATTCTAGTTGCTTATTAGGGGCAAGTCATTATAATTACCACAACAATAGTAATAACTAAAAAGTTACACATGTTAGAACCCTATAAAAAAAAGTTACACATGTATCAATCATTGATCATTATATATCCGAGTTATAAGTAAATTTAATCTTGAAAAACAACAAATGATATCGAAAAGACCTTATCGAATCAGAATTTATTATAATATTGCATAACTTGCTATACCAGTGTTGTTTGCTAAACTAAACATCTGCATTTGTTGTTTAGTTCGTATTTGAAATTTTATGCAAATAAAAAAAGATTCATTATTACGTAATCTAATTGGATTCTGTTAAATTTCTAAGAAGAGTCTCTGCAATCGCTTTTGTGTTGTAAAATTATAGAATGAAACGTGTACTCCATATCACTAACAAGGACCATAGTCCTTTTATCATGAACATTTCATTAAACATATAAATTTTTTACAAATTTATAAATAAACCCAATCCTAGACATGTATTTATAAAAAAAACCAAAGCACTATTTAAACATAGAAACACACCCAAAATCAACCCCAAAGTCAACTTTTTTGGTGTGTTTATAAATGGATTTTGAGTGTGTGTAATGATGGGTTTTGGGTGTGTTTATATGTTTTAATAGTGCTTGGGTTTTTTTATAATTTCAACCCCCATTTTGGGTGTTTTAGTGAAACTCCCCTAAATTTTTCTTCCATACAAAAAATAAAGTTGCTTTTGTCATTATTATTATTATATTTTAAAATCTTATATTGACTCTGATTTGATAAGAACTAAGGTGATCATATAATTAGACCTAACCCTGAATCTTGGGGATCGTCTTGAAGAGAAGAAAACTTGTGAATTTATTTTGTTGACATGTTTTTCCGGCGACACTTTAGCCGGGCCGATGGATCCCACTTGCTGGCAGTGTTGGGCTTGGGCCGGCAGCCTCATGTCCTTAACTAAAAATACGTAATGCCGGCATGGTTTTTTGGGTCCTACCAATTGTACTTTAATTTTTGGGCCCACATCAAATCATAGTCTCTGACTAACGAACATTTAAAATTGGCGCCGAACCTATTAGGCTCGTAATGTCCTAACCGTATGTTTGAATCTTTCAACCGTTGGAGGGAAAGGAATGTGATTTACAACAAAGCCCTTCATTTCTCTTTTGTTTACTCTGATTTTATTGTTGTTGTTGATGTAAGCGATATTGAGGAGAAGATGAATCAAATATAAGACTTCGGGTGCATGGACAAATGCTCATAATTACAAACTCCTTACTTGTTTATTGTAATGTTCATATTATTTCATCATGCCAATCGAATTTATTTGTTTATTAATTCATTCTGGACCATTTATGAATTATGAGTTACTTAGATTACAATAGACCCTAAAGAAAAAGACTTAGAGATCTCATGTGCATCTTCACCTTATCCCACCCCACCTCACCCCACCACAATGACAAAGCCTAGAAGAATCTTGGACCAATCAACTTTACCATTAAAGGAACCAAAAAGAAGAAGAGAAAAAAACCCAAAAGAAAAATATGGCCTAATTTCAAGATATATAACATATAGGCTTCTAATAAATAAAAAAAAAAAACATTTGTTTAATAAGGGTACAAATGGCCTAAATCATGAAGTGGTGCACATATCATGTGCTCTCCTTCTTGCCCTGTCCATGTTATATATGGTAATGGTGAAATGGGCCATCAATCATCTTTCAGTGACAAGTGGAAGATGATAAGGTGGTGCAGCAGCTGGTGCTCTTCCTCTTTCAATTTCCTTTTCATTGGATAGGGTTTGCATTTGATATGTTTTATGTGGGTGTTAAAAAGCACTTTCTGATTAATTTGCATGAGAGCTAGCAGCTGAAACAAGTAACATTATCTAGGGGCCAAGTTCTCAATTCTTGGTTAAGTACAATGGTCCTAATCATCATCCTAACTTTTAGCAATTGAATTATTAATGGTTTCAAAAAAAAAAAAAAAAAAAAAACTCCAATAACCATGGTCACATGTTTAGCCTTTACACATAAGCAAAGGGCTTAGTCTATGTTCTTGAAAAGACCTAAATCATATGCACTTGCTTTAGTTATTTTCTAATTAAATTAATTTCAAGGTCATCTTAAAAAAAAAAAAAAAAAAATCAGAGGAGATGACCAAGTAAAAATTTTTTCATGTAAGTTGGGTTTTTTTGATTTTACCTTTTACTTTTTTTTATGAAAGAGAAATTTCATTAAATAAACTTGAACGGTACAAAAATCAAAGATATTAACAAGGTGGTAATTGCTTTTCTTATGCCCAAAAAAGAAAAAAGAAGAAGAAGAAGATTAAAACAGAGAGGTCAATTATGATTTCCATGAACTAAATCAGCTTGGTTTCCAAATGTTCTGTTTCATAAGCAGAATAAAAACTTTGGACAAAACAGTAACTTCATGAATCATAAGACCTGTTCCCAATTGATTCTATGTTTACCAACAAAAATTACAGGAACAATCCCATCAATCCACCTTCCCAGACAAAAGAAAAAGAAAAAGAAAAAGAAAAAGAAAAACTCCATCTCTCAACAACAAAAAAAGGAAAAAAAGGGAAAAAGGTGAATTTTGTCTAGACAATATATATTTTATCCACCACCAGTCCAATTGAGCAAAGAGACTTCTCTGATTTATCTTATTTTTCACCAATTTTTTTATTTTTATTTTAAATAGCTAATTAATTTTAAAAGCTTTTGTCACGCGTGAAATATAAACCGTTGAAGCCTAGTTTCTCCGAGAGGCTCGGAACTAGGTTCGGTGTAGCTTTTTCCCTTCAATATTAGACAGACAGAGCGACAGAGAGAAGGGAAACAAAGCTAAAACAGAGAGAGAGAGAGAGAGGGAGAGAGAGAGGGAGCTACCCCAGAAAACTGAGAAACAGAGAGAAAGTGAGGGAAAGGACGAGAAAATCATCCAATCCCAATCTTCTCTCTCTCTCTCTCTCTCTCTCTCTCTCTCTTCATTTTTGAAAATTCTTTTTTTCTTTTCTCTTCTTTTCTAAAATAGGACCTAATACCTTCACAACCAAGTCTCCCCTTTCCTAATTTCAGTCTCTCCCTCAGAGAATTCAATCAAACTTTCATAACTTCACCTGAAAAAGAAAGAAATAATCAAAATTTTCTAAATTCCCATCACAGTTTTGGCTTCTGAAATGTGTTTTTAGATATCTTGGGCCTTTTGGATTAATGGGCAGGAATTGAATTTTGGATTTGAGTTGGTTTCAAAGGCCGGACATTTTGTTTTTCTGAGTTTTATTGGCGGTAATGGCTACAGAGCAAGTATTGCCCTTCTCTTTAGTTTCTGTGGTTGAAGACGTTCTTCAACAGCATGGGAGTCGTTTGAGCGATATTGACTTGGCTTCCAGGAAGGCTGAGGAAGCTTGTAATTATCTTTCCTTCATTCTCTTTATCTTTTTGACATTTGAATTTGGATTAATTTGAGTTTTATTTTATCTAGTTTATTGGTTCTTCCATTTCTTGGGAGCTTTCTGTTTTACATTCGATTGAAACTTGTAGAGTTTTACCAATTTTGGGGGATAAGATTACGAATTTGTCAAGCAATATGTGGTAAGATAATAATTTGATGCAAATTTAATGCAACGATTTTTGGAATTTCTGGAATGCTGAATTTTTCTGCGCGGAAGGAGGAATGATTAATTTGTTATCGTTTTTATCTTTATCTCTCTAATTTTTCTTGATGAATTTTGGCATTGAAAACTAGGCATTTGGTTGAATGTAAGTTTGGTATTAAAATTTCAATGAACTTGGAGATGAGTTTAAATATCGTGACCTCAAATTTACAACAACAATTCGAGAGTAGAAGCAAAGTTTCTGATCATATGACTTAAATCAGATTGAACAGTTTTGTTTTTCTTCACCTCTTCAGTGATAATCATTGCATCGAGATTTGGTATATGGCAAGTAAAAAAATGAATGTTGCCATGCTATTTTGCAGCCTTGAGAAGGTATGAAGCAGCGAGGTGGCTGAGAAAGACAGTCGGAGTAGTGGGGGGTAAAGATTTACCAGCTGAGCCTTCTGAAGAAGATTTCAGGCTTGGATTGCGAAGTGGGATAATCCTTTGTAATGTTCTTAACAAGGTTCAACCCGGAGCTGTGCCGAAGGTAGGACTCAACTTGGTTTTTACTTCGTCTTTATTCAAGCCCTTTATTAATCAACTGTTTTTGATAAAGTTAGCTGCTTATATGTTTTTAGGTAGTTGAAGGACCTTCCGACTCCGTTCTTATTCCTGATGGGGCAGCTCTATCGGCGTATCAGTACTTCGAAAATGTCAGAAACTTCCTTGTGGCTGTGGAGGAAATGGGGCTTCCAAACTTTGAAGCCTCTGACTTGGAACAGGTTGGTGCTGTTTTGGTTGCATTGATACTAAACTTGAAGAGTCCATTCTAGGTCCTTCCCTCAATTATGGATGTTTGAAATGTACCCAGCAAACATTTATGCATCATTACTTTGTTTATTTTGTCGTTTTGCAGTAACATTTTTCCACATTCTGAATTTACAGGGAGGAAAATCTGCAAGGATTGTGAACTGTGTTCTAGCACTGAAATCATATAATGACTGGAAACAAGGAGGTGGAATTGGATCATGGAAATTTGGTACAAATTTCAAACCACCTACCTCTGGGAAATACTTTTTCCGAAAAAATTCAGAACCCTTTGCGAATTCCGTTGCAAGGACCTCATCACTGGGAGAAAAGTCCCTAGATAGTTTGTCCAGTGAAGATATCAATGAAGCAGTTAGTGAGATTAGATGTTTCTTAAATTTTTATTTTTACAGTGAAGATATCAATTGCAGAAAATAATTGTTCTGTCTCTTCTGATATTCAGAGTTCCTCTCATGCCTTACACATGCTAGTCCGTGAAGTGCTTTTCGACAGGAGACAAGAAGAAATTCCACTCGTAAGTGTTCTGCCTGTTATACTGATTCTCTTAATGAATATAATGATGTGGAGGGGAATCAAATAACTTTCACCCATTTCGGTCATGAAAGTGGGCCATTAATTGCTCTGTAGTTTGCTGCCATCCAATGAAATAGGTATACACTCCCCATATATTGAGAACATCTAGTGGAACTAGAAGTTTATTATTTGGTCTTTTAAGGGTCACATTCTTGCTTATAATATCATGTTTCCAGTCAGCCTGAGCACTCGTTTTTCCAATTCATTATATATGCATGTATACATTACTTGCTTAGAGAAACAATTTCCTGTTGCTTTTAACAGATTGTGGAATCTATGCTGAGTAAAGTCATGGAGGAGTTTGAGCATCGGCTAGCAAGCCAAAATTCACTCGTAAGAAGCTGTCTTTATTCAACATTGGTTTACTGTTTCATAAGAAAGCTCGTTACTTCTTGACTCACTGAACTTGTACTGATTTTTAAAATGACAGATAAAAACAGCTTCCAGAGATATGGCATTGTCTGGCCCTGAAAGATCTCTTTCTGAATGTTCTGCTGACATGAAGGTAGATGACCATGAAGAGAAAGTCGCGGCTGATATCAAAGAGGAAGAAATATCTGACAATGAAGAGGGATCAAAAACTGAGTCTTTTAAGCAGAAAATGCTGGTTGACCAACAGCAGAAAGATATTCAGGTAAACTGCAGTTGTATCATATTAGCAGCTACAAATTTTGTTAATATCCCCTAAATTACTGGTGAAATTTTTGTTAATATTCTGTAGGAATGATGAAGTACCAGGAGGAGTTCAACAGCCTAGGTATGACTTTAAACGAACGTTGGTCTAATTTTTTATTTTTCAACGAGGCTAGCATAGGGTGCTCACTTTTTTTGGCTTCCCTGAAATAGAATGTTTTAAAGTTGTTTCACTTTCTCAATGGAGGACCGTAACTAGTTTCCCATGTAGGTAAGCACCTGCACGGTTTGGCTCATGCAGCAACAGGATACCAGAAGGTTCTTGAAGAAAATCGCAAGTTATACAATCAAGTCCAGGATTTGAAAGGTAATATTTCTGGTCTTAAATTGTGTTGACTTCTATATTTAAAAATCAACTTATGTTTTCTTTCTATAAGATTAAATGGTCATCAATTATTTTGGTTAGGAAATATAAGGGTATATTGCCGAGTGCGGCCCTTCTTGCCTGGGCAATCAAATCGTGCCAGTACTTATGATCACATTGATGACACAAGTATTAAGATTATCACCCCTTCAAAATATGGCAAAGAGGGACGGAAATCTTTCAGTTTCAACAAAGTGTTTGGTCCTTTTTCAACCCAAGGTTAGCTAATCTGCATATGTGTTCATTCCTAGCCTGTCATATATGTCAGCATTTTCACTGCCACTTTTCTTTCACTGCAGAGGAGGTATTTTCAGATACGCAGCCTCTGATTCGGTCTGTTCTTGATGGTTACAATGTCTGTATATTTGCTTATGGCCAAACTGGATCAGGAAAAACTTTCACAATGGTAAAATATGCGCATAGATATTTCATTGTATAATCTTTATGCTTTGGCCAGTTGACTCCTGAAAAATAATGAACTAATTTTGTGGATTCATTTTGTTTACCAATATAGACTGGACCGAGAGACATTACAGAGGAAAGTCAAGGTGTAAATTATAGAGCACTTAGTGATCTATTTCTTCTATCAGAACAGAGAAAGGACACCATTAGCTATGGAATTTCTGTTCAGATGCTTGAAATTTACAATGAGCAAGTTCGGGATCTCCTGTCGATGGATGCCACCAACAAAAGATATCCTTCATGAGCCATGACACTAATTCACTTTTCCTTATTGTTATTTTCTTTACAATGCACATATCATATTCCTGTGTGTTCTTAACTCCAACATACATTAGAAATTCGTAACAGTTCTCAAAATGGAATTAATGTACCAGATGCAAACCTTGTTCCTGTATCATCAACATCTGATGTTATATATTTGATGAACCTCGGGCATAAGAATCGTTCGGTGAGTGCCACAGCCATGAACGACAGGAGTAGTCGGTCACACAGGTAAGATTAATGATACACTGTAATTTGAATCATGTTCCCTTCTCATTTAACATTTTGAGCAAAATTCTGAAGTGATTATGAGTCCATCTAAACTAACTCCGGTCACATTTCATATGCATAAAGCCGTAGACATTGACTTCCTTATGTTATTATAAACAGCTGCTTGACAGTTCATGTTCACGGGAAGGACCTGACATCTGGAAGTATTCTCCGTGGTTGTATGCATCTAGTTGACTTGGCAGGAAGTGAAAGAGTTGACAAATCTGAGGTGACAGGAGATAGATTAAAGGAGGCACAACATATTAACAAGTCTCTCTCAGCTTTAGGAGATGTCATTGCCTCTCTTGCTCAAAAGAATTCACATGTTCCTTATAGAAATAGTAAACTCACACAACTGCTCCAAGACTCACTTGGTAAGATTGTTTAATAACCTTGAGCTTACATAGACATTTTCTCTTTTTATTTTTGCGTAGTCTAATCATCTTATTCGCCCTTAACAGGAGGGCAAGCAAAGACGCTCATGTTTGTTCACATTAGCCCAGAGCTTGAAGCTCTTGGAGAAACACTGAGTACACTCAAATTTGCGGAACGTGTTTCCACAGTTGAGCTTGGTGCCGCTCGAGTTAACAAAGACAGTGCAGATGTAAAAGAGCTCAAAGAACAGGTGGAGTATGGCTTATATTATTATTCCGAGTTATATGTGCAATAAATTTATTCTTGATGATTTGGAGGGAGAACAACAGAGGTGAAGCTCTTGTTTACTATTCATTCTTTCCTTTTCAGATTGCTACTCTTAAGGCAGCCTTAGCAAGGAAGGAAGGACAGGGAGTGCAGCTTCAACATTCTCAATCCTTAAGCCCAGAAAGATTTAGAGTCAAGTCTGCTGGGTCTTCCCCTTTGCATTCTAGTCAGAAAAGCACTGGAGATTTGTCTGGTGGTCGCAGGCAACAATTGGAGGATTTTGGGAATATAGAGGTACTGTCCAAGTATTGAATTGATATGCCAAAGACTTTATTTAATCTATGTCATTTAATGAAATCTAAACACTGTATGTTGCTTCAAATATTCATCTCTATTTGGATCGCACTAGGTTCGGAAAAACACTGCATCAAAGCCAAAAAGGCGAAGTTTAGATCTCCACGATATGCTAAGGAGTTCACCTCCCTGGCCACCGATTGGCAGTCCTGGATTGAGTGGAAAGGAGGATGATAAGGACTCAGTACTTTCTGGTGATTGGATTGATAAGGTGATGGTGAACAAGCAGGAAAATGCAAGCGGAGAAGAAAATCTGTTAGGAATAGGATGTTGGGATGTGGACAACAGACAGTTGCCAGAGATGTTTGGTCCGAGCAGCCTCCCAGACCCTCCAAAGTTATACATGGAAAACCAAAACTTTGGAAAATTAATGGCAAACAAAGAGGAGAGCCAAGACTATGAAGTACAAAGGAGTCGATATGAGACAGCCACCACGGATGACTCTGATGAGCTTGAGGCTGCAACTAGTGATTGCTCGGAGCCAGACTTGCTTTGGCAACTTAATCCCCTGAAAGCAACCGGCATTCCCAACGGATTGGGAGCAAAACCAAAGAAACCTTCTCCCAGGCCAGTAAGGAGCCCGGAAACTAGGTAAACTCTGACTTCTATCAATTTGCAATGCTTTTTTTGAGCTGCATTGATATATTGTGATAAACTGTTTCCATGTATCTGCTTGTAACCAGGAGTTTAATTCCATCATTGATTCCTTCGCCATCACGGAAGCCACCAAATGGGGTTAGTCAGCCTCTGCATAGAACTGGAAGGCAGCCAGGTCCTGGTGAAGGGAAGCGAAGATCTGGGAATGCTAAGTGATCGATGATGAGTTTACTTTTATGGTGTGTTGAGGGAAGTTTGGTTGCTCTATGATGAACTCTTTTTCATTTTTTATTTTTTGGTGTCAATTTTTGTGTATTCATATCTCTAGAGAGAGAGAGAGAGAGAGAGAGAGAGAGAGAGAGAGAGAGAGGTTTCTATGTATATGAGAGATGGCAACACTTGCAGTTGCCTGAGTTTCTGCGGTGGTGGTCATATATGTATGTTGTCGCACCCCATTCATCTCAATTTGTTTATATGAGTGTTGATATTGCTATCAAAGAATAACAAATTTTTTTTTTCCTTTGATGTGTTCTTAAAAAGAGAAAATGTGGTTTTGTATATATATTTTCATTCCCACTGTCTCATAATGGCTAGTCTATTTTTATACGTACTTTGCTTGAGTCCAAGACAGATTGAAGTTGATACTCATTCATACAAACAATAAGGTTTTACAAGCATGAAATATATTCCCTTCCCTTCCCTACGAAGCTATCTATAAAACATATAATATAACTCAACATGAGAATTTAAATATGGACATTGCTTGGCTCCTATGCGTCAGGGGACCTTTTTCTCCTTATGACGTGGCACACTCATAGTTCAATAAGTGTCCATCTTTGTTTAATTCTAAAACACTTAACTCATCCTCTCTTGTTATATCTACGATCATGAGATACTTGTTGTCGCATTATGTTCATCTCACTTTGTTTAAAGGATAATCTAAACTACAACGGGGAGGAGAGTTTTCACACATATTACAAGGGTGCCATAGTAGTTTAAACCTGAGACCACTGATTTGTAAGTTAATGTCATTTTCACTAGACTATACCATTCAGCAAGAACTATCGAAGTTGATATACTTCTACTAAACCCAACAAAAAGAAAGCAGAAATAAAAAAATCTTGCATTCAAAGATTGAATATAATTCTAGAAAACATCCAATTGATGCCAAATTAGCCACATAATCAAATAAAAAATAAATGTTGATATCCCAAGATTATAGAAACAAGCATCAAAATATAGATATAAATTTATTATTTCGGACGAGAGCTACGATCCTACTGAGTTTGTTTGTCTCCCTGGATCGAAACCAAAGTGCTGGCACAAACAACAGCTTGAGTTCGATCAAAAAACACACCATTAAGAGGAAGATACTTAAACTTTCTGGTTTCAAGGTTGTAGAAAATTAGCACAACATCATCCCTGGCCACCATAATAACTTCCTCGCTCTTCCACAACGCCAACGGGAACAATGGCTTTTCCGGCTCAAAGGTTAAGTATTTTGTCCAGGAACCCTTCTCCTTACTCTCATCCATCACCCATATGTCAAAGCAATCTGGCATTGACGCATAAATAAATATAGCAACGCTTTCCTTCCACACTCCAAAAATCTTGCTCTCATAATACCCTACATCGGGAGGATACGGTATAATATCAAACACCTCTTCACCAAAGTCGAACGAAAGAATTCCTGCTTTCATGTCCCTTTCCTTCCTCTCCTCCTCCTCCCTCGCCCGCCGCTCGTTGTTTTCAGGGCTGTCTTCGTCGTCTTCGCCCTCGTTTTCCTCGCAGTAATCATACTCATCGTCTGTATAATTATAGCTGACGACGTACTCCCTGTCCTTATCTGTTGCAGGCCAATAAACAACACCCTTGCAGTACACAGACACAGCATGCTGAGGCAAAAAGAATCCGTTTTTCGTCACTATGTTCCCGATCTCGATCTCTTTCCACGAATCTGAACCCTGCAGGGTGAACACTTCTGCTCTCGGAGGATGAACAACGAAACGATCGTCGTCGACCTTTTTGTCTCCATAAGTCACAAGCCGGACGACTTTATAATTCTTAGAACGCTTGAGATCACGCCCCAACCCTACCCCAAGTATGGCGACTTCTTCCGGGGAAGAAAGAAGAACTTCTGATTCAGGAAGAAGCTTGAATTCTCTGATGGCCGGGTTGCATAAGGCCACCTTTTTGTGGAAATCAGTCAGACAAACGATCCCATCACAATGGCTTGAAATGTCCGCGCCAACCCTATAAAACTCTCCCCCTGTGTCCACACCTCGAAAACAAGAAACTTCGAGGTCCTCGAAAACGGGACGGAGATGATCATCGCCACCGTCCATATCATCATTGTCAACATCATCAGTGCGGAGATTAAACATCGAGAAAAGGAGTTCCTTTTGGTCTGTGTTGAGGTCTGTGAGGATAAAATGCTTGAAAAGGATGGTGGTGGAGGGGGTGGAGATTTGGTGTCGAGTGGAACTGAAGTTGGAGAGGTGCATTTCTACAAACTGAGGGGTAGTGATCAAAAGAGACCACGACTTGCGGATGCATTTGAATCGCATGAGAGATTTGGGAGGCAGCCTTGAAAGGATATGCGTCACCAGCTCTTCTGACAATTTTGAAAAGATTGGATCTGCCATTTTCTGTCTGCACTCTCAATTGGATCTCCTTTCTCTTCTTCTTCCTCCTCCTCCTCTTTTCTCTATCTCTATTACATGAATATTGTTGTTGCTAAGGCAAAAGTAACGGGGAGAGAGGAATGCGTGTGTAGCGTTGAGAGAGAGGAATATAGGTGTAGCGGGGAGAGAGGAATGTGGGTGGAGTAGACAGTAACTACTTTCCCTTAATTACTTGAGCGATATTTATATTTATTTTTGTGATTTAGCAAATTAGTTTTTAATTAATAAATACCTTTAGATTGTGGTGTATTAAGCATAAATATTTTCAAGAATTTTGAATGTTTCACTATTTGTGGCATTCTCTTTATATGTATAGATAAAAGATAGATATAACAATGTAACGTTATACTTATAAGGAATGGTGGAAGTCATGAAGCAGGTAACTTAAGAATTTGAGAATAAGGAATTAGAATTGGAATTTGATCACTACTTCTATAGTTGATCTGATTATTAGTTTTGATGATATTTGATTACAGATTTCACCATGAAACTCTCATAATTTTAATTTCCGTATGTGTAAATAAACGCAATAGAAGTTAGAAATTAGAATCATTCTAATACATGTGTTAGGAAATACAAGAAAAGAGAAATTGGAATCATTCCAATGCCATCCAATTTCAGTACCGATAAGTAAACATGGATTATTTTTTTGTTAAGATAAATGATAATATCAGCACTTTTTTTATAATTAAAGATTAATGAGGTCCAATAGTGTGTCTAGATATAAATAAATAAATGAAGTGAGATGTTACATTCATTGGGATCCAAGTCGAAAAAAATAGAAATAAAAATACGAACCGAACTGTCAGCGACACTGGATAAAAGGTTATTTTAGTAAATTGTACATGCATGCAGTTCTACACCGAAGGATTCGGACATAAATGTCATTTTGACAAAGTTTTCCCAAAAATCACACCTTTTTCCACATCTCTCTCTTTCTTCCAATCAAATCATAGGAAGGAAAAAAAAAGTGTGACTCTCTCTCTCTCTCCCTTAGGGTTTATTTTGGAACAACTAGTGAGAGTTCAATTTCAATGAAGAATCTGTAGATGGACTTCAATGTCAGGTCCTCCCTGCTAGATCCGTCTGTCACTATCTGTGTTTCATCTGTGCATTCTAAGGTACCCAAATATTTCCAATTTCCACTGATTTTTCCATTTCGAAACTCTTTTTTTTATCTTTTGCAATTTTTATCGTTTTCTGTAGTTCGGGTTTAGCTCAGTTTATCAATTTGGGGCTTCGGTTGACTTCTGTGTGACTTATCTACTGGGATCTTTTGATGGGTTGCGGGTTCTAGAGGAGACAATTTTTGCACATTTTGTAAAGTTCTTAATTTCTGAAGTTTACTTCACTGTTTAGTGAAGTTGGAAAAATTAGATTATTAGGTGGTTTTGGCTTTGATTTGGGTGGTTGGTTTTGGTGAAATGTGGTTTTGAGAAAAAGGTATGAACTTCTAAAATTATACTACCAAATAGAACTCTTTTTATATTCTTTTACGTGCATTCTATTGGTTTTTGTTTTTACTTTCAAAATCGTCTCTAGCTTACTTCGTTTCAGTAGGCCTTGACACAAGGGACTTGAAAAACGTTTAATGTATACTAACATTATTATTTTATTTTGTATCTGTTTTCACTTAAGTTTTAGTGTCATGTGCTGTGTTAACTAATTATCATTCTAATTTTGATGTGCAAATCATTTGAATCAGTTGGTGGAGATATGAGGTGCTTTTAGTACATGTGTACATGAATGCAATGAAATTCTGACAAGATTTTCTTCAATTGGGTCTTGGGAATGTCACAGCAGAGACTAAAATGAGCCAGACTGAAGTATCGGGAATGAAAGCTCCTCTTGTTCCACTTGCGACTCTGATCGGTCGTGAGCTTAGGAGTGAGAAGATTGAGAAACCTTATTTGAAGTATGGGCAGGCTGCTGTGGCAAAGAAAGGAGAGGATTGCTTTCTTATAAAAACAGATTGCCAGAGGACTCATTCGAATCCGTCAACATCATTCTCTGTCTTTGCGGTACTCCCCCACCACTATTTTCTGTCTTTGTAGAACTGATCTCTGGTTGGATACTGAAATAATTGTATTTTATCCAGTTGAGTGGAATTTTATTTTTCTTGGGTTTGAAATGGTGCGATAAAAGAGAAATCACAAGTTTGTCAACTTTTCTTTCTTGTATATTTGTCAGCAACAAAATGGAGCATGAATTCAATCCCATACGTTCTCTAATACATAATTGAAAATTTTGATCTCCAGATTTTTGACGGGCATAATGGTATATCTGCTGCTATTTTTGCAAAGGAGAATTTATTGGCTAATGTTTTGAGTGCCATTCCTCAAGGAATAAGTAGGGATGAATGGCTTCATGCCCTTCCTCGGGCGCTGGTTGCAGGTTTTGTGAAAACTGATATAGAATTTCAGCAGAAAGGTATACATCAGACCTTTTGTTTTTATTATTACAACATGTCTCTCTTTTCTTTTCATTTGCTTTTGTTTTTCTTAGATTTATGATGTAATATAATCTCAGGGGAAACTTCTGGTACAACTGTGACATTTGTTGTGATTGACGGTTGGACTGTGACTGTCGCATCTGTTGGGGATTCTAGATGCATACTGGACACCCAGGGTGGCGTTGTTTCACTCTTGACTGTTGATCACAGGCTGGAAGAGAATGAAGAAGAGAGGGCGCGTGTCACCGCCAGTGGTGGTGAAGTAGGGAGGCTCAATGTTTTCGGGGGCAGTGAGGTATAGTATAGCTTATTTTGTTTATCCTTCTAACTTGTAAACTGAAAGACATCTCAATGGGAAACATTTCTTTGATGGTCTAAATTTTGTATTTTTACTTGGTTTACAGGTTGGTCCCCTCCGCTGCTGGCCTGGTGGATTATGCCTTTCTAGGTCAATTGGTGACACGGATGTGGGAGAATTTATCGTTCCAATACCCCATGTCAAGCAAGTGAAGGTAACTTCATACTGCTATTGGCAATGGTTCTGTTTACTTTTCTTTCTTTTATTACAACATTTTAATGCTCAACAACTTTTTTCTTTTCCTGGTTATGTAGCTTTCAAATGCTGGTGGAAGACTTATAATAGCTTCTGATGGCATCTGGGATGCTTTGTCTTCTGATTTGGCTGCCAAGTCTTGTCGGGGATTGCCTGCAGAGCTTGCTGCAAAGCTGGTCGTTAAGGTAATGCCTGAGATGCAAACTTTATTTACAGGCCAAGAAAATAGGTCTGATTTTACTGATTTAGTCCAATTTTCTTTGTTCTACTTTAGGAGGCTCTGAGGTCAAGGGGTCTCAAGGATGATACAACCTGCCTAGTTGTTGACATAATCCCTTCAGACCACCCTGTCTTGCCTCCAACACCAATGAAGAAACAAAACATCCTTGCTTCACTTATCTTTGGGAAGAAAACTCGGAATTCTGTGAACAAAAGAAATAAGCTTTCTTCTGTTGGAGTTGTGGAGGAGTTGTTTGAAGAAGGTTCAGCAATGCTCGCTGAAAGGTATGTGCAGCATAGTTTATTATGTTATTGATAAGACAGTATTTCCAGCTTGAGTATAGCCTTTATTTCTTTCTTTTCTTGACGGAAATGCAGGTTGGGTAAGGATTCTACTCTGGATGCAAATTCTGGTCTTTTCCGATGTGCAGTCTGCCAAGTGGATCAGCCTCCAGTAGAAGGTTTATCAGTAAATTCTGGGCCTTTTTTCTCTCCAGCATCAAAGCCATGGGAAGGTCTCTTTCTTTGTGCCAAGTGTCGGAACAAGAAAGACGCCATGGAAGGAAAAAGACTGAGCACGCCCACAGTGATATTGTAGTAATTTAACTGATTGCATATTCTGTTGTATTTTTTCTCTGGCAGTGTGAGCATATGCTTGGTTTTCCTTTTTCAGGTGGTGACTATTATAGATGTGTGTAAGAAATGAAGTTGAGGTATGCAGAGTAAGTAGGTGTTTTGCAGTTTCAAAAGTTTGTGTCGGTTCTGGTTTGTGCTCAGCTGTTGGACTGACTGACTGAGGGCAGAGGTGTTATCATCACTAACAGCTTTAATTTGTAAGTAAATCGAAGGTTTGCGTAATACTTTTGGTGTAGCTGTTCACTTGAGTTAAGTTGGAAATTAGCAACAGCACGCGATCTAACTCTAACCCATTGGTGTTCGCTCTATTTTATTTTGTTAGAACAATTGAATATATAATCTATTTATTTTGCAATTGTCTGCGAAATGTGGTTAGACCTGGTTTGCCACTTCTTCCATATTATTATGTTCTTGTGTGTTACATAATTCATTCTTTATTATTCCGATAGCATAGTACTCTATGTTTAATGAGGAACATATTTGAAACTATGGGGAGATTATAATGAGGAGTTTAAAGTGAGGAGGCTATTTGCGTATGTCAATCTCATCATCAACAAATGTAAAGAAATCATGGGACTTAAACATTTTAAATGTTTTCATGGTGAGATTGGTTTCCTCAAATAACCTCTTCACTTTAAACTCCCGGTTATAGCCTCCCACTCACTTTAAACTCCTCATTGTAGCCTCTCCTGAAACTGCCCACCATGGGCTCTATCCACATGGCATTGCCATGGCAGCCCAATTAATGTTTTACCTTTTGGGGAATGAAAAAACTAAGTCGGTGTAACTTTTAGGTAATTTCAGAGGGTGAGGTGAGTAATTTGAGGGGTCACAATGGGTGCAGCTCTTCTAAGAAAATAAAGCTTCGGGTATTTTGGCACCAATGTCTCTCTTTTGGTTGCTCAAATCGCAGTAATATCTACAAACAAGCTCCTTCCTAAGCACACATGAGTTCACAACCATTAAATTCATAATACATGGCCAGAATTTACTAAACCAACAATTAGAACAAAATTAAACATGAACCACAGAAAGCAGCTGAAGACCAAGAGAAAGAAAACAACTTTATTACATTAGGTTGCAACTTGCAAAGAAATGCATGCATACTAATAACATTATTAGGTTCTAATATCCTCTTCGATAAGCAAGCCCAACAAACTCAACTCAATTAATTAGGAGGCAGCCATTGCAGCTCAATCCCATAGCTCCATTTCTCAACAGGATCTTCAGGTCGAATATCAACCACAGAAGTATAAGCAGTGCAGCCTCCAGGCCTAACCCTAATCACATATGAAGTCATATGTGAATCTTTCAAGTAATGGCAGCAGAGGCCACCTTTGCATGCATTGTTTTTGCCCTCCAAAATTTTGTCCTGAAAAACCCTACAGAGGCTATTTGAGGTACAGTTGAGAGGAGATCGAAGCAGATTGTCAGAGCAATTGAGCAAGATGACTGTGTTGCGAGTTGACACATTGAAGGGCAAGTGTTCATCAAGCCTCAAGCCTTGAAGAGGGAAATCAGAAGTTTGACACGTGTCACTATCTTGTACCAGATCAGGTGGGCTTATGATGAGCCTCTGAGCACTCGGGTCAATGCTGAGGATCTTGTAGTAAAACCCTTCAGCTGACTTGAACTCAAGAATGCCATTGCCATTGTTGCTGTTGTTGCAGTAGATTTTGTACCTTGAGTCTCCGCACGTGTCATCTGTGCTGAAAGGGTATGGAACTTCCACATTGCCGCATTTTGGGCAAGATCCAAGGGCTGATACATGGCCAGTTTTGATGATATTCATGAGCATGAACACAAAAAATGTCAAAACCATCTTGACTTTAGCAGAGAGTCAGAGATAGAGAAAGCAAGAAATGCTGAGAGCTAAATATCTATTTATATAAAAAACCACAGAATTAGTTAATCAATATGGGAACTTATAGAGTGCTTCTATTTCCACTGCCTGTTCTATTTCTCCACTCACTTTATCTTCCCTCCACCATGTAAATTTGAAAAAACACAATCTTATTTTTCCACGTACTATTATTCTTAAAATACCCTTTAATTATTAATTCTAGCAAATTCTCTTTACTAATCATTAGTAGTTGACATATGGAGAGAATCAAATAAATTCTCTTTCTTAAAATAAAAAGAAGTAAATAATCTAATTAAAATAGAAAAAAAATAAAGATTTATTTCAAATATATTTACTCTTGCAATATCACTTGTGTAAAAAAAAAAAATATATATATATATATATATATATATATATATATATTAGATTGTCGGTATGAAAATGAAGTTCCTTTTTTGTGAATGAATAATGATAATCAACAAAGGTGTGGCCAACAGCTGTCAGTGTATGAGATTTGGATGGAGAGATTAAGAAATGACAATGAATATACAAATCTTAATTGCCCTAAAGAATTATATTATTAAGTTTATTGGCAGCCATGAAAGATGAAGCTAATTAGCTGGTTTTCACCCATTGGAATCTCATATATTGTATTGTATTATTGTATCTAGATTTGCCCCACCATGCCATTTGCATTCATCAACCAGAGAGGAAAGAGCAAGTGTCAAATAATATGGAAAGCAAAGAAAGAGAGAAGGCAGGGTTAAGATCAAATTAGATTAATTGATCTCCAAGCCAACTAGTGGTGAGGAACAATTGGGTTAACATATCCCACTTTCGATTTTGAAGGAAGTTTCTAGGTTTCATTTACCTTTCGGGGGGCAGTGGGGCACTCATTTCCCGAAGTGGCCGAAGTTCTAATAGCATAAAGAAACGTACATTTTGGGATAAAACAAAGCACAAAGTTGTAATAGTATAATGCTATTTTGAGAAATTTATAATTAAGAACATAAAGTAGCACACAAGGTAGAAAAATATGTAAGCCATGACCCCTATCTTACATCAATTTATTGGTCCACTTATTCCCAGCCCCCACCAAACCAACCACAAACCACTCTGGTTTATTAACTGTTGAACGCTAAACACCTGTGAATAAAATTTGAAACAGGGCAAGCACCAGGAAACCACTTTTAATTTGAAGACAATCAACATATGATTAAGAATACTAAAGGAAATAAGGACTTCATTTTATAGGATTAAGAACACACATTGATCTCAGTTGTTAAGCACCCTCCCTTCTCCAGAAGAGAGGGAAGAGTAAATGACTTCATGCACTGGGGAAAGAAAGAGAAGAATGAAAACTGGGTGATATATCAACACATTGAAAAACAAAACTCAAGCATTTTTCTTTGCTAGATCACAACTTACAACCAGACAAGCAAATATAACATATGCTTCCTACAAAAGTGGCTTGAGCTACTCTTCCTTTCCAAGGCTGAGTGTTTTCCATGATGTGCCAATCAACTGTTCACTAAACCAATTCTTCTCCTGCAAGTAACCAATGAGCAAATTGATCAAAACATAAATGTCAAAATAGGAAATGGTATTAACTCAAACAACTAAGGTGTTCTTGTCTGAAATACTTCGTGCAGCACAGAGGTAACGATGGTATTGCATGTAATGTTAGTTTCGTATGGAAGTCTCACAATTGGGATAGCAAGGGAGTACATTACTATTTACTAAGGGGTCATGTCATTAGCTGCAGATACTATAAAAAGTAGAAGAAAGGAACTTACGCAGATCATCCAAGGATATACTGCTGATGCTTTCTCCAGTCTTTATAAGACGAATCTTCCCTGCAGGGTAAATCACAATATATAAGTAGTTTCACGTTATCATTATAGCAAGACAATCGTTGAACAAAATACCATGAACATGACAGAGTTCTATTTTTCTTTTCTTCTTTTTGAAGGGTTGGAGGGATGGGGTGGTCCTTTCAAGGCATACTAAATATTGATATTTATCGTTTCAACTTGTATTCGCCTTGTTGGCACTTTTTCTACTGATGCAGAACAGGGTCACAAATATGAATCTTCATTCCCATGTTTATTCACCCATCAACAAAACCTTTAAATCTATGAAATTCAGACATCGACAATGTTCTATGCTAAATTAATGTATCTTCCCAAGTTATCTCATAGCAACAGAACATTGGAACATAAATATTAATGAAGCAAAGTCATGTAAGATACACAAGTCAATCCAAAAACACTTCAGAATGAAGAATTACGACTTAAAAAATAAACATTTAGAACAAAGTCAAACTGTAATGCTGGTATTTATACCATCGTAACGAACACATATCTCTGGAATATTCTTAACTTCACCATTGATGCTGTCATTGTAAACTCTGGTTTCAATGTCACCCTCCACATAAATTGATGAACTGCAGTTAAACTTCAACCATTAGAGAGACAATATACAGAAACTTCACTCATCCTAAAAAATGGACACATACTTCTTAAAAAGTTGTTTAACCGCATAAGCCCCAAGTGCTTCATTATGCACAGCAATTCGATGCCATTGAGCAGGTTTTGGCAAGTCCTTTGCACCCCCTATTCTTTGGTCAAACATGCCCCCCGTCCCAACTGTGAAGATGGTTACAGTCCGGCCATTCCTCAAGATCTTCTGCACAGGGGCTTGCCCAACTTTACCACAGATAATTGCCTGTATAAATTCGGCATAGCCTAGCATAAACATATGACAAAACATATGGAAGAAGGATATCCCTACACAACTGATTGATTGCTGATTAAAAATAATAATAGAGGAAAGATTACTCGTTCTGGTGATTTATGCTGTTTCTGTGTCCAAACATCCCTAATGGAACCAACAGGTTTTGTTAGGCTTATATATGTACAACAATACTTGATGCACTTGCATTTGTAATTTTGTTATGTGAAGGTACATTTACACATATCCAAATGGGTAAAAGTTACAATTTTTGTTCTATTGAAACTACATATGAAATACCTTGTGCACACCGCGAAATCCCCAGCCCCTCCTGGGATCCACACTTTGGGCTTGAAAATGCGAATCTTTCTTCTCACCCAAAATTTCGTCAAAATCTTCTTCTGCCTCAGTTTTCTTTGTCTCATCATTGCCAATGTCAGATGAGGTGCTTGAGCACCACAACTTTGAGCTTCTTTGCATACTCACTGCTGTAATAAAGGTAAAAAATTAACATAAAAAGGGCACACTAAATTTCATTGTTCAGATTCTTGGCATGCCCATCACTATTTGAGAAAATTGTTCTAAGAAATAACATGTAAACCATGCTGAATTCTATGCAACCTGTTATACAAAAAGCCCTTTCTGAACTAAACCCATATCTGGAATTTAAATGTTCAACTGACCGACGAGATCATTTAATTTTGTAGAAACTTGAATGGGTGGTTCCATTTAAAAGGCGTTTGAACTCAACCCATGAATAAAACAACAATGTCAAACCGAATGAACACATTCATGTCATACGTACAAAAACAAAATAAATTTATGGAGGAGAGAGATAGAGAGAGAACCAATTGTTGGGTTGGGCGAGAAAGGAATAGAGACTCTCATAAACTTGGCAAATCTCACAGCGACCGAACTCATTTTCAGCTGAAAACTCAGTAAGTCTAGGTAAAGCGAATTGGTAAAGACTGGGGTGGGAGGGTTCAAGGAGGGTTTAGCTGTTAGGAGGCGAAAGAGAGGGGAAAGTGCGAGGTCGGCTTGACTATAAAATTTAAAATAAAAAAGGAAAATAAAAAGTTACAATCCCTAATTTTGTAAACTGAATTTGCTCTTGAATTTTTTTTTCTTTAAAACCTATACATATATATATTTTTATTTTTTGAGAAAAAAGAAACCTTTTTCATCACACCATCCTTTCCAAACTCTTCCGTTTCCCTTATAAAAAAATAAAAAGTAAAAATAATTAACATGGAAAACATTATTATTATTATTATTATTTTACAAATGTGATATTTTAAACTACATTAATGTATGCCTCTGAAAAAACTACATTTATGTAAGAGGAGGGAGTTTGAACTTAAGTGCAATGGAGAGGACGCACTGCCTTAATCAACTGACTTGACCTATATTTACAACGAGGATAACATGATTTGTTAATACGAATACTAAATGCGGTGGGTCAATATCAAACACAAGTAACCTGTTTGTACACAATAAATTTGTTCAACTAGTAATTTATGAAAATTGTTTGCTTTTCTTAGCATGCTTTATATGAGTCATTGAATTATTGGAAGATTACTTTTGTGGTGTGTTCTAGTGTCATGGTCAAATAGATCTTCATTTCGTAATTAACCTACAAGTGAGCTTTCAAGGCTCGTTGGCGGGCAGGTATCAGTTTGAGTTCCAAGGATGGGAGAGAGATGAATTGCTTTTAATTTTAGTTTTCGTATTTCTCAAGGGCAAAAATAACAGTTCCAAGAAAGAAAAAATACAAATCTTTTGAAGTGTCCTCATAAAATTTATAAAATAATATATATAAAAAAAACCTTTTGAAGCGCGCAGATTTGCAGTCGGAATCAAACCAACTTTTATAAACGTTGAAACACAAAAGCTATTCATATTCGAAATTCAGGACAAAAAATTTAGCAAACAGGAACCGCTGGAAATCGCCTTGGAGAAGCTACCACTACTTTGTATGTAAGCATGCACAGAAATTGAAATGAATGTGGAAGACACGTATGGGAATGGGAGGGAACAAAACTAACTTCCAAGTCTAAACTTTGAAGATTACAATGAACATTCCATGAGAAGGCACTCAGCAAGATGGAAACGAAACAGGGGAAGAAGATAAACTAAAAGCAAAGAGTAACAGCAGCTCCACTAGGTCTTTCAGTACTTAAATAAGAATAATAACCTTCTTAGTTCACCCGGAACATTACCAGCTTAATCATAATCAAAATTGCCCCAGGATCAAGCAATGCCACCAAAAACCTCTATATATGATTAGCGCTCCGACCCACGGGATGGAACCCTGGATGAGGACCAACTAGATTTTGGGCCACCAAAGGTGGGGGGTCTTCGCTCATCACTGCGCCACCTATCACTTGATGGGGGTGGGCGGTCATCTGGCCTACTTGCCCTACGATCAAGATCTGGAGGAGTCTGTGCAGCGGGTTCAGCTCCCCCTCGCCGAAACCTAGGCACATATTTCCCAGGAGCTGGTGCAGCGGCAGCAGCAGCAGGAGCAGCAACTGCAGGCTCAACTGGACGAGGCTCAGCAGGCCTAGGAAGCTCAGCTGGTCTTCCCAAAAGTGCTTCTTTCCGCAGCCTTTCTTTTTCTTCTAATTCCCTCTCTCTTTGCCTCTGCTTTTCAGCAATCTCATCCAGCTTTGCCCTGCGCTCAACTTCTTCTTTCCTTTTCCTTTCGGCCTCTGCATGGTTCAAAGCAGCAATGGTTGATGAACATCAGAAGACAGTAAGGGTAAGAGCCATTATAAAGGAAAATTATTCAAAAAGCAAGAAAAACTAATAGAAGAATTGCAGGAATCAGAAATAACCATAAGCAGGGAGAACAATACTTCACTTCATGTTTTCCAAAGAAATGATAAAATCATCTCAAACGAAATTAATTTCGTAACCCACACAGAGAGGATGCTCTAGTGTTCACAAAAAGCTGGATAGACTAAATTTTTTGTAAGAACACATACCTTCATGCTTGCGCGCTTCCTCTTCTTCATGCAGCTTTCTTAGCCTTTCCTCTTCAGATCGCACATAGAATATTTTCTTCCTCTTTGCCTCCCTCTCATGTTTCCTGGCCTGAATCATTTGACTGATTTGTTCCTCTCTCTCTGCCGTCCGTCTGTCATATTCTGACTGCCTACGATGCAACACCCTTTCCTGGAAGCTCATCTACCAAAGAGATAAAAGAGTCATTGTTTCTCAGCATCTACCATACTTGTGAATGAACACATGTCATGACAACACAAGTGACCAGAAAGAGTTATAAGAACCTATTGTTTGGAAGCATTGGGATAGAAACATTTATAGTTTGATGATAGTGTTAGTGGTTCTGTGCATGCATATGTTATTGCTTTCCCCAGGAATAAGAACATGCACATGTTTTAGGGCAGTGTATACATTCTAGACAGAAATCTGTGTGAAAAATGGAAATAAAAGTGTAATTTGTCCGGTCAGGTAAAACTGCAAACTCACCTTATTCTCCAACATCCGCGCTAGCCTATTCTTCTCCTTCAGATCTCCTTCATGGCGCTGTTGGCTCAGCTCAACTTCCAGCTGCAAAGCACAATAATAAATTACGGCTAGCATACAAGGCAAAGGGAATAAAATCAACATGAACTGTAAGAGGAAAGAATGGGAAATGTAACTGTTATATATACCTGTTGATTACGTTCATGAAGCACCCTCTCTTCCACTAAACGTTGTTGATAGGCAGCTTCAATCAGCGGAGCAGACTCTTCTCTTTTTGCTCTTTCCAAGTAATCCATTGTTCTAGCAAGTTTTAGTAATTTCTTCTCCATTTCTTGCCTTTCCCTGAGCTGTTCACTCAGGGCCAACTCCATTAGAGATTGCTTAGTCACCTTTTCCTGTATAAATATAAAACTCATTAGATACTGATAAGATGGGGTCTTCCATCAAAACCATACTTAAATAAGACATCTTTCACTCACTCCTTCCAAAAGTGGCTTCTTTCCCTTCTTTCTACTGCGTGCTTCCTGAAGGAGCGCCTGTGCTTCTTCAAGTTCTCTCTCCTCTATTTCCTTTAGTATCCTTTGATTCTTCCTTTGTTCATATTCACTTGCAAGCCTCTTCTGCTCTGCTTCTTCAGTTATTTTCTGTAGTTTGAGCCTCCTAGACTCTTCCTCACGTTCCTAAAAAAGGAAAATTGAAAGCTTAGTCTGAGTTCCATCCATTTCCAGACTATTATCAATGCAACTCAAAGTATATGCAGGCATACCATTTCCAGAAGTTGACGTTCTTGTTCTTCCTTCCTTTTCTCAATGATTGATTTCCTAGCAAGAAGCCTTTTATGTTCCTTATCAACAGTATCTGCTAAAGTAGGCAGAATTTCACCTAGCTTTGATGCTCCCTTTAGAGGAGGGTACATCATAGCCCTTCCCTCATTTAAAGACTCAGCAAGATTAGTCAGGTGATCTCGAAGCCCGTCAGACTCCAAACCCTGAAAAAGTTTGCGAGAGAAGACAGTCAAATTGTGACTTGTACAACATCAAAAATTATAAATGCAGAGAATTCAAGCTCTAACTTACCAAGTTACCAAACAACATAACCCCCTTCATATGGTCAACTTTCATAGCTATAAAATTATGTTTAACAGCATCCACATAAATCTTCTCAACAACAGAAAAGTCATAAAATGGTATCATCGAAGATAAACATTCAATCTTCAGTGTTTGATACACTTGCGAAACCTGAATAGCGTAGAGGGAAGAATCATTAACTCTGTTATAGATTTAAATGAACTAAAAGGTACAACTCTGAATGAATAAGAAACCAAAAAGTCAACACACCTGCTGGAGCAACCTCAGAGTACCAAGCTTTTCAAGGGCTGGAACATATTGAGATAGTTGCACTTCTGGAACAGAAGAAGCTGAAGACAGCTTACCCCCAACTTTTGAGATTTTGCTCAACAATGGCTGCATCTTTACAGCAAGATTTAGAGGTAGAAATTCATGCTCCAGGAGATGGTAAAGATCTTTAACTTCCTGGGTTGCACAGCTCAACACACCTTTAGAGACCTGAAAACAACACCAAAATAAATAAATAAAAATTCCTAAGCTGCATAACAACACTTGCACATTTAGAAACATTTCAAACATGTAATCCAATTTGATTTATCGTCAGCAAATGCATATCCCTGAATATTACTTTATGATTTGAAAGCCTCAACAGATAACGCAGTACCCATTTGCTCAAATAAAAAAGAATAAAGCATTACTGAGCAATAATAAGTAATAGCACACAAGGAAACAATATCATAGCAAGATTGATACAAAAACTTAAGGGACATTTTTCATCATCGATCTCAAAAGAAAGCTCCACCCCAAAATGATTGTCACAGTTTGAAAATCACATATTACAGTAGGTTTTCATATAAACTCTTAAGGGGTAATGGGAAATAAAAAATTATATTTCCTTGACCATAAAAAAGACTCATTTTGGGACAAGGTACAAACTGTGGTACACATTATGAAAAGGACAGAACAGCACTAAGCAAGAAAGGCTAGAAATTAAGCTATTCAAATTTGAAAAGAAAGCTATGCATATACTTCCATTACTCTATTATTAATGTTACCTAACCAGCAAATTGAAAATCTGGTCACAAAGTAAAAGAAAAGTTGTGTCTATTTAGAAAATTTATAATTGTTAATATTCATCACAAGCAAAAGGATTAAAGCTCAAGAATAACAGTAAATAACCATAAAACAGACCATGGCAAACTTACCAGTTCAGAAAGAAGAGATGATCTTGAAAGCTGGACACAAAACAGATTGTCAGAATGGAAAACCCATTAAAAATTGGAATCAAAAGGAAAACAATGAATAAAATGACAATACCACATCTCCTCTGTCAAGCTTGGGTTCAAGATTAAACCCGATTAGATTAGCCATCCTCAAATTGCGCTCTTTCTCATTTTCAAATTCCAAATGTGATGCAGCACGTGTTTGATCATAGGGGGCAACTGAAAGTGCAGCCAGGACAACAGATGATGCTATCAACTGCAAATCCTTCTGGCTTAAGTTCTTGTTAAAGCTTTTTTGAAGTGTAAACAGCTTTAACCATGC